TACATGCCCTTAAACCTGCCCTGTCCATGAATCCTGCTAACGCTTGGATCAAGATTTTATGTCATTCATGCTCACAGTCTTGCTCTCCCAGATATCCATCTGTCTGAACATTTGTCTAATAACCAAGTCTTACCTGTATCACACTCATTCTTAATCTCACTCAGCCTGCTCATGCTACTCTTAAACTCCATCACTTTAGAGACTGCAGTATTAATGGGGGAATCCCCATATAATCACCAATGATATATTATAAATAAGTTAACTATTGTAGCTAATTAGTAGAATTAATTTCCCAAACTTTACTTATTAGCCAAGCCGCTCAACCATATTTACCAAACCAAAGCAAGCCACATAAGACAAAATCAACATGAGCTGGAAGGTACCACATATTAAAACATCCTTCAGAATCTCTCCTTCTTTCTTATAAAATGCAAAGTTACATGATCTATAAAATTGCATCTGGATTAAAAAAAATGTTACAAAAATGTTCAAAGACCCTAAAATAAATGCATCAATGAAGGACATACTGTAACCACTAGATAAAATAAAAACTTAATTCTTATCATCAGACGGATCAGGTGGATTGAAACAGGAACTTTTAGAAATACAGTGGTGCCCAATTATGCATGGGAGATACATTCCAAGATGCTCAGGGACCTCTGGAACCTTGGATAGTACTCAATCCTATATATACAACACTAAGATAGAATACAAACTTTATATAGGCAGGGGGTTGAGGGGAGAATTATGAGAATACTATACCTGAGCTGAAACAATTCACAAAATAGAAAAATTAGTATTAGAGTTTCTCTAAATAAGTCTTTTTCCTTTAGTTCCCATACCTAGCTCAACCTTTGCTTAAACCAAAGGAGGAAAGGAGATTTTTTTCACTCAAATAAAAAGAGAGGGCTAGGAGGTCAGGGGAATGGAGAAGCAGAAGCACATTCAAGTAAGACACTTCTAAATTATTGACTTTTAAACCTGGCTGTGCTTTAGAATTGTCTGCTTCCATTCAACATCAGGCTCCATTCAGACAAACTAAAACAGAATTGGCACCAGTAAAGCCCAGGTATGGGTATTTTTTAAAAGCTCCTTGGGTGATTCTACTCTACAGTCAGGCTTAAAAACCACCATTCTAAATAAAGGATCTAGGAGAAGGATCCTCAGACAGAGATATTAAGTCATTCTTATCTTTAATTCTGTACTGTGAGAATCAAAAGAAAAAGGAAAATGGAAAGGGTAACATTTAAGTTGCTAAACTGCAATTGAAATAAATTACACTTCGCTTTCTATCAGAAGAGAAGATAACACATTAATTTTTGAATTATAAAATCAATACCCCTAGCTATACAACTAATCTGCTTAAAAACTGATACTATAAGTTGTTCTTTTTTATTTCCTCACAACTAAAATACTACTGTTACCTTGCCCCAAGTAAAACCAATCAAGATTCTCTCACTACTTGAACAAACATTTGTTAAGTTTATGGTATATCCCAGACACTATGTTAAATAAAAGAAACAGTGGCAAATAAGACAGGAACTAATTGGTGACTAAGCTCCTTATGAAAAGTTCAGCCTACAATGGAAAATAAACAATGATCAAAAATTGTAAGTATGATAACCATTATAAAGGTAGGTATAAAAGTACCAAGTGCTACAGTACCTGGTGAACTGAACTAGTCTGGAGGACAAGGAGAGGAGCAGGAAGAGTTGGCAAAATCAGGGAAAGCTTCTCTGAAGAAATTTTGCCTAAAGTGAGATCTAACCCAAGAGTAAGTCATTAATTAGGTGAGTGCAAGGGGAGTGCTGGCACCATGGCTGGGGAAAAAAGCAAATGCAAAGGCCCTGAGGCAGGGGGGAAATTAAAGCATTCCAGGAACTGAGGGAAGATGAATATGGATAGGATTTACAGAGAAATGAGCAAGGGGAAGAGTAGCTCACAATGAAGTTAGAGGTAGACAGATGCCAGATCACACAGGACCTTAGAGATGATGTTAAGGGTTTGAACATCATCCTGACAACAATGGGAAATCATGGAAAACTTTTAAGCAAAGGAGTGACAATCTTTTTGCAAACTGACTGATTTGCACTAAATTTTTGTTAGCACTCTCCTATATAAAGAATACCCTGACAAGTATTTCAAGAAACTTGGAAGTAATATTCTTACAGAGGTGATAGAATCATCAAGCTATCACAGCCTGGTCATATTAATCATTAAAAGCATTCACTAAAATCTACTTGAATTTCATTTTTACTAAAGCAAGATTTGGACTATAATTTGTCTTTCCATGTAGCATTTCCTGTGTGGAAGAAACAATGCTGGTCGGTCACCCTAACTACATTAAGACCATTTGACACTGTATATATCTCGCTGGAAATTAGAAAATTAACATTCTGTTTTATTAGTCAGTTTATTATGAGTCACTATATTCACTTTATTTATGTGGTCCCTATTTAGAATTTTATCTGCCCAGAAAGCACCCTCTATCTGTGGAAATGCTCCCATGGTTTTAGTGGGAGGGCTATCAATGATAAACTTCATCTCTCTAGCGAAGGAATTAGGGATATGACCTAGACTGGGCCCCTCACTGTATTCACTGCTTCCTGGCTATAGTGACTGATCCAAAGTGTGGTCACATGACCTAAATTGGGCCAATCCCCTAGATCTGAAACACTGCAGCTAGGAGAGGGGTGCTTTTATTCCTTGGTAAACAAGCTCTACAAGGGTGTGACCCAGAGCAGCTGATGGCCAAGCTCCACATCTTGGAGAAGCCAGAGACAAAGCAAAGACCCTGAGAGAAAGTAGAGACAAGTACTTACAAGAGGCAGTTCTGATGCATTATAATACCTGAATCTAGTCAAGTCCTTGAGACTAGCTGCACCACTACTTTTCTGAATTTACTTACTTCTTTTTTTTTCTTGCTTAAGCTAGTCTGAGCTGGTTTTGTTACAGGTAACCAAAAGAGACCAAACATCCAATGCTACGAAATACGGAATGAATTGCTTTTCAGGAGACAATACTTGCATCACTATCAATTAGGCTTTAAGCATTACTTCTGTCCCTGTGATATAATGTGAAACATATATATGTTTTTTGTCCCCAGTTTCTGTCACAGTCCTCTAAAATTCTTGGAATTTCCTGAGTAATAGGAATGTCTTTTGTTATTTATATAAGCCACTTATGAGCATAAATGAGTTTATACTAATGAAGGGTGGGGCCAGTCACCAAGAAGACCATGTGATTAGAGGGTTGGAACTTTCAACCTGATGCACCACTGACCTCTGTAGAAAGCAGGGTGAGATGGGAGGGGCTGGAGATTAAGCGCAGAAACTCTTCAGCAAGACTTGATGAACTTCTGGATTGCTGACCTCCTAGAGTGCCAGAATGGTGGCATGCCCCTTCCTCCACACCCTATTCATCTCTTCCTTCTGTTCATCTGAATCTTCTGTAATATCCTTTATAATAAACCGGTAAATGTATTTCCCTGAGTCCTGTGGGCCATCCTAGCAAATTAACTGAACCTAAGGAAGGGCTAGTGGGAACAGTGATTTACAGCCAGTGGGTCAGAAGTATAGGTGACAAGCTACTACTTGTGACTGGCATCCGAAGTGAGGAGCAGTTCTGTGGGACTGAACCATGAACCTGTGGTATCTGACTCTAACTTAAGGTAGGTAAGTGTCAGGACTGACTTGAACTGAATTATAGGACACCCAGCTGGTGTCTGCTAGAGAATTGCTTGGTATGTGGGGGAAAAACCCACACACATCTGGTACCGTAGAGAAACAGAATGTACTTTCAACAGTTCCACAAGGAAAAGATGACAGCTATACTTCCAGCAAGGATTTATAATTTTTGCAAGGATAAGACATACAAAATTATATACACAATAAAAGATTAAATGCAAAGTCTGAAAAAAATTTAAACTAGAACTTTTAAGATTAGGCCAGAAAAGAACTGAGGTGTATTAAAAAGAAAAATGAATTAGGCATCAGGAGGCCAAGGTCCTCCTGTGTTTTGTGCTATTGTGTTACCTCTGCATACAACTTATTCTAAGGTACAATTTCTTCACCTGGAATGTGGGAATGCTCTACATTATTTCTAAGGTTGCTTGTGGTGCTGACATTAATGAATCACTTTGAGGATATAAAAGCATACCCCACTTCATTCACATTATTGTATGTTAAAGTGTAAACTCATTTTAGCTTGCTTTCTTGATCCTCCTAAAGCATAGCTGAGTATCCTTGTCCTGTTATTAATTTAGCCTCCAGAAAACTCTAATTTAGTGGTCTGCAATACCATAAACTATTTTAAACTAGCTATACGTGAAAAAAAAAAAAATCCCAATAGAAACGATACGCAGAGAAATAAGGTGGAGTAAAAGAGGCCCGAATTAGAAATCAGGAGACCAAAGTATAAAGAATTTTACTCTCAATACTAAGTTTCCTTCAAAGGGCAAAATTTCTGATTAAAGTTTTCAGATTCAAATGAGCTAGCTTTGAGCCATTTTATTCTCCTGGTCATAGCTTTGCCTAAAAACAAACAAAAAACTCTGGGAAACTTTTCGAAGGTGCACTTCCAAGCACACTTCAGGCCCGGGGTCTATTCCACATGTGGGGCCACGAGTTCCGCAAGTGAATTGTTGACACCAAAGATATTCCTCAAACTGAGATTAAAAACAACTTTACCCTCATATTGCTTTGGCAATAAAAGGGGAACTTTACTCCAAGTCAGTCGTAGATGCCGAGACTAGGGGTTAAGGGATTTGCTTTTTCTCATCTCATCAAATTTCTGTATACCAGCCCCTGCCCCTCCGCCTGGGTCTCGAGAGGAAGAGGAACTCAGAGTCAGAGCCCACCGCTCTGCCCCAGAGGTCCCGGGACGCCCTCAGGAGGCAGGGCTCCTATGCAGCTGGAGGCTGCGACGGTTAGGGCCTGGGTCGCCCCTCGGCCGGAGCCACAAGGGGAGGCCTGTGCGTGGCAGTCATGGGACAGACTCACCTCAGCGTCTTCTTTGCACTGTGGAAGAGAAGGGAACTCCAGCTTCACGTCCTCCATGGTCCCGGCCCGCAGGCTGGTGGGTGGGGTGGGATGGTGCTATCCCGCCGGCTCGACCCTCGAGCTGCCAGTGGCGGCGAAAGGAAGGAGGGCCGGTGGAGCAGAGGGTTGACAAACGGGCGGCCCGAGCTTACAACTAACACACGCAGACTAGAGGGTCCCAGCGACCCCAGAGGCGGCGACGGCGACAGCGGGGAAGAGGAGGGTTGGGAGTCTTACACCCGGCCGCCATGCCGCTGCCGTCTCCTCCCCCTGAGTCTCCGCGCCCCCCAGGCGGCCCAGGATCCGGCACAAGCACGAGCCCTACAACCGTCTCCCCTCCTTCCACCCGCCCCCTTCACCCACGCCGCCCCAGCCAATCCCAGCCCACGCTCGCCTTCGGCCCGCCCTCCGCCGCCGCCAGGTGTCAGTGCGCCGCCGCCCTGCTCCGCCCCTTCACGAGAGCGCAGACGCGGGGGGCGGGGCCTCGGAGGCGCCTCGACCGGAGCTCCCCCAGAGAGGAGGAGGCGGGGTTGCGCTAGGAGTGAACGAGGGAGGGGCCTGGGAAAGGCAGTTCTGCGCTTTCCAGACAGGACGTAGATCCCTTCTTTAGTCAGAGAACAATCGGGCAAAACACCCTACCCACCAGAAACTGGCATCCGAAGGGAAAGCTATAGTTTCTCCCCTCTCAGAATTCGACGCCATCTGTGGTGAGGTTATAACCAAAGGAGTAATAAATGAAGAGTTCTGTTTAAAATCACGTTGTGCTACACAGAAAATAAACAGTTCAATACTTCAAAAATTCTTAAAGATATTTTAAGAATACTCGGGAATATGACAACTAAGTTTAGATTAACTAGAAAATCCCAAGAAAACGGCAAATTTAAAAAGGTCATCAGATGGGAAACTGATACCTCACTCTCAGTAAATTGTAGCCGATACTCTTAAGGTTTCTCCCGTTAATTCTTAGTTTACTAATATTTCAATATATGAAACTATGTGGCTTTCAATGTCTTTTAAAGGGAGTTAATACTACATTGTTAATAAAAGTTAGGAATATACTCTCTGGGCCTAGAAAGAAACTATTATCCTTTTTGTTTTTTAAACAGATGAGGAAACTCTAGCTTAGAAATGGAAGAACCCACACTAAAAAGATTTGTACACCAAACTGATTTTTTAAAGTACTGCCAGCATAAGAGTAAAAGGCAAGATAGTCACTCATTAACTGCAAATTACAATGGATAAAAGTGAAAGGATCACATATTTGATTTAGACCTACCCCTACATTCTTTTTTCTATTGTCATATTACACAACGCACTGCCCACACATAGAACTGTTTTAATAATGAGTATCAGATGGCCAACTTAAGTGCTTCATTTTCTCTATCACTATTTTGTTTTTCACCTTTTAAAATTACAAAAAAGCACATATTACTCTAGTAAGTTTTTAATTTGAAGAATGATTGTGTAATTAACCAGTTCATATATTTTTGGTTCTTTAGGTTTATGAAACTGAAGTTGAGTGTCTTTTAACAGTGCCTTCAATAAGATAATCTCAATTGATGCCCAATGATGATTCCTTTACATAATTTGTTAAAGCTCTTACTGCCACATGACATGAGAAAGAATTGTGTATAGGTAATAGAAATTTTGTTTTGAACATTTCTGACATCAGCATCCCCTATATCATACACTGTTAGCCAGGTACTTATAGAGTTCGTGGATGAGCTTGGGAAATAATAAATCTCCTGAAATTATAGTATATGCAAAATTGTGTTGTGACAATTTTTCCTGGAAGAGGGTCTAGACCTCGACATTCTCCAAAGGGACCTATTATCTCACATAAATCAAGAAAACACAGTCACATTTGTGAGCAAATATTAATCTAGAAAAAGTTATGGATATGCATGTATTTTTTCAATTAGCTATCAAATCATGTAATAACAGTTAAGAATATAAAAGTAGTTTCTGGAAGGTAGAATATATATAGACCTACCTTACAGATCCATGTTATGTATAACAGGATGATTTTATGAACACCAGTGTGTGTACTATTTCAAAATAAAATTCAAAAATCTATAATCTAAATACAACTTCATCTGGGTCATCAATAGTTTACTTAGTGAAGAACCTAGAGGACCATAGTAAATGTGCTCTTAGAAAAGACAAGAATATATGTAGGAGAACTGAATCAAACAGATTTTATTCAACTTTTTAGGATGAGGAAAACAAATAATATAAAATAAGTCATAAGAAATGCTCCCTTATACTACCATCTCAAACTATTTTCAATGTTTTACAAAATGCTCACACAGCGAATACGAAAAGCTTCAACACACTCTTCTTTTGTAACTTCTGCTGCAATAAATGCAACATTAACACACATATAAATTTCTTCTCTACCAATCTTAAGAGTTGAATTACTGAATTAATAATTGTTATGATGTTACTCATACATATTTTTATTCATACACTTTTAATGAGATCAATGCCAATACATACATTATTTTAACTTTATTTTTACAGTAAGCCAATGTCTGTCATGCAGCCATCAAAAACCTTACAGTAAATTACACAGGTTTGTAGTCCAATTTAGATTCTAGTTTCTTAGAATCAGCCACTTTTCTGACTGCTTTCATGAAGTCTTCCTGTACTACAAAATCATGATCAGCACGAATTGCAAACATACCTATGGAGAATAAAACAACATGCTTGCTAAATATCACATGTGAATGATATGTTTATTATAAGAAAACAAAATAACATAATTCTATGGAGTAAATGTGAAGAAGCCAAGATTTACTTCTGAGCCAATAGTTCTAATTTGTTAAAAACCACTATCTTTGTTCAATTAATTCCCATAGCTATGATGATTATTTTCACGTGAGACAATTATCTGAATATTTTAAATATGGCTTGAACAGTCCTTATATCTAATGGTCACTCTTAATAAAAACAAAAATCAAAAACCAAAAGAAATGAAAACTATCAATAACCCATACACATTTTAAGTGAGTAGTTTTTTAACACGATAGGCAGCGATTCCCTGGAGAAAGGAAGCACGTTTATGGGAAAAAACGAAGACCTCCAGTAAGTTTGAAAGCTGTTCTTTGTTAATAATCAAAGGCTTAGAGAATAGGAAATTATAGAAAGACAACAGTGGACTTTAGCAAAAATCAGAGCCATTATTCATGTATTAAAATGTACCTCATTTATGTATGAATTAATATTTTTATGAGATTCATGTTCAAGTATCACAACTCAATTTTTTCTTTAAAATTTTTGACAAGTTACTTGTCAAATACTATTTGACAAAGGGATAAAAGTTGTAGTTTTTTTCTTTTTAACATTAGTTATGTCATGGATATAGGTCCCAGATTTTGAGACAATCCTAATTCATGGTAAATGAAAGCTGGAAAGGTATCACTACCTATAATACTAATATTACACAAATCCTAATACTTCCATTGAGGATCTGCTTGTATTGAATCTTCACTTACATAAAATGGGGGAGTTGGAATAAAAGATTTCAAGGGTTACTTCCTATACTTCCTTTCTAGATTTCTATATAAGGAAACCTTCTATGTTGTCCCAGAAGTCAGGTGAATGGAAACGGCTGATTTTTTTTTTTTTTTTTTTTTGAGACAGAGTGTCACTCTTTTTGTGGCATCAGCCTAGTTCACAGCAACCTCAAACTCCTGGGCTCAAGCAACCCTTCTGCCTCAACCTCCCGAGTAGCTGGGACTACAGGCACGCGCCACCATGCCTGGCTAATTTTTTCTATATATTTTTAGTTGTCCGATTAATTTCTTTCTACTTTTAGGAGAGACGGGGGTCTCACTCTTGCTCAGGCTGGTCTCGAACTCCTGAGCTCAAACAATCCGCCCGCCTTGGTCCCCCAGAGTGCTAGGATTACAGGCGTAAGCCACCGCGCCGGCCAGAAATGGCTGATTTTTTAACAATGAAGTTTCAAAACTTGTTTAGAAAGCTACAGCTAAAGTAGGTAAATTATTTTTGTAAACCTTGTGTGTGTGACTATTTCCAAATCACTGTTTAGTGAAGGTGTAAATCTGCAAAAAGATGCACTCTAATCCAAAAAGGAAGACAATGTCAGTACCTGAATGGAAAGAGCAACCACAGTTGAATCAAGAGTATTTTAACGTATAGAAAGATGTTAACAAAAAAGGGTTGAAGTCTAATAAAAAGAAAACCAAACAAGAATTTCAGTATGTCTCCAGATGTGAATGTCCCACCCAGTTAAAAAACTAAAATTTTAATCCACACAGAAGTTATAGCTCTTTATTGAAAATAAGATAAATTTTTTTAAATATGTGGGGAAAAAAGTATATCACAATTTGATATCATCAGCCTTTAAGATCAGAGCACTGCTTTTGTTTGGATTCCAATTTCACGAAAGCAATCTTCTCATAATAATTTGGTCTGGTTTTGATTTTGGAAAGAGAATGACATAAATTACTTCAAGCTACATGGTAAGTTTATGTCTTAATAGTTTTGTTTATCAATAAGCCTTTGTGAGCATGATTTACCCTGATTTGTACTGACAGAGTCTCTAGATGTGCAGATCTTTTTGACATAGACACTGAGTCACAGTGTACCCATGAAGAGACTCCTATTGAGAGGCCACGCCTAAGCGGCCTCTTTAAATACTATTGAATTTACAGGAAATGTTAGAATAAGGCTAAACATGATATGAAAAGAGGAAATCACTTACTTGTAATACTTAAAAAAAAAATCTACAACCTATGAAGTCAGTAACTATAAAAACTACCATAAAAATTTATTTTTTTGATTTTAAGATTCTGTATGGAATAAAAAAACTAAACTCTAGGTAGGGTATTAAAGCTACTTGGTACCAGAAATAAAAACAGTATCACACAATTTTTACACACAATGCAGATGTGAAAAAAAAATTAGTATCACACAGCAAAAAAAGAAAAAATTAGTATCACACAATCCACAGAAAGAATTGTATTTAAAAACTACTACGTTTTACACAAACTGCATGATCACATAATTCATTTGAAATCAATTTTTCAAAGTTTATTGCTCACAGACTAGTATCAGAAAACATACACTTTCCATTTGCAGCAGACACCTTTGGTGCTGGCCCATTCTGATTCCAGCCACAGGTAAGGTAGACAGTTCTGTATAGACTCGGACTTACTTCAGGGGGCCAGTGTTCTATCACATGCTTGTCTATCTACATTCTGCCCTAAAGTATCCAGAACTGCAAAGGAGTTAACACGACCAAGGGCAAATTTCATCCAATGGGAGATGAGTGCTGGTAAATAAATGTTCCAGTCTCCCATCTTTCAGCTGGGTAATCCTGGAAGGCACTCTGTACATTTCTCTGAGGTCTCTTCAAAATCTAACCCCTCTTGCCTACAGCAGCTACCTCAATGGTACACCCTTGTATCAGCTTTCCCTCTTTCCATCTCTCTTGTCCTGTATGCTCCTGCTTCCTGCAATCAATTCTCCAAAAAACAGCATACAACCAAATCCTTGCAAGGCCCAAGCTCTGCTTTTAGACAAAAAGAGTTTAAGCAAATTTAAAAAATTAAAATCAATAATAAAACTGTACTTTAAACCCTTACCTGCTTCAGTACAAACATTTCTCAGGTCTGCTCCATTAAAGCCATCAGAAAGCTTCACAATTGCTTCATAATCTGTTTAGAAAAAATAAATAAATACTGGAAATTAGTAAAAAAATTAGACCTTCTCTTGCTTTATGCCCACATGGAAAATTTAAACTGAAGAGCTTGCTTTGAATTTGATCCACTAGGCATCACCTCTATTAACATTCCACAATATTAAAAAGCCAAAACTAAGACTTCTGTTGAGTAAACCAGCACCAAGCAGAAAGAGACACACCTCTGAAACTTTAAAATCAGAAAATATCGTCAAGATCTTTAAGCATCTTAACCTGTTTTTACCTAGCAAAACAGCTATGCACATGTGAACTTCAGGTACCTGTCAAGCTATGACTCTTATTAAAACTATAACAAAATCTTTAATTTCAATAAACCTATAACATTCAAAACCAATTATAACAATGGATTTTGTTTTAATACTATAAGCCAAATATAAAATATACCAAAAATGTAATCAGAAATAATTTTATCACATGGAATTTTGAAATGCTACAGCAGGCATTGGCTAGCTTTTCTGGTTTCTGTGCAAGCTTCAAGTGGTGAAGTATCTATCTATCATCAGATCTATGAAAACAGCAATAGACAAGCGATCTCTCTACCCACCCACATGACAGACACGAATTGAAGAGCTGCAGGTTTAGGGTAGTAATCGTGGATTAGATACAGAATAGGAAGAGAAATAAGAGAGCATAGGCTACTACAATGTGAATAACTCTGATGATACGCTCTTTGTCAGGCAATATAGGGTATGTCAATCACTATTTGAAATCATATTCATTAATTAGCTTTTACTCGGGTTAAAGTTCATTGTAAGCTTCCTGAGAACAACAATTCCCAAGGCTAGCACAGTATCTGGCACCTAGCAAGAACTCATATTTGTGGAAGAAAACTATAAAGTAACATCCTTTGTTCAGTTTAGTCTTTCCAGTTCCAACCTCTCTGATAAGAGCAATGAGACAGTGAGAGATGATAATCAACTTTTTTTTTTTTGAGATAGAGTCTCACTCTGTTGCTTGGGCTAGAGTGCCATGGTGTCAGCCTACCTCACAGCAACTTCAAACTCCTGGGCTCAAGCTATCCTCCTGCCTCAGCCTCCCAAGTAGCTGGGACTACAGGTGTGAGCCACCACACCCAGCTAATTTTTTCTATTTTTAGTAGAGATGGGGGTCTCACTCCTGCTCAGGGCTCAGCTGGTCTGGAACTCCTGAGCTCAAGTGATCCTCCTGCCTTGGCCGCCCAGAGTGCTAGGATTATAGGCATGAGCCACTTTGCCACGCCAATAATCAACTATTTGTAATTATCTTGAACCATTAACTTCTAAAGGGTTTTTAAAGCTGCCTGGCAATTATACTGGATTATCCTAGTCCAGAGGTCAGCAAACCTTTTATGTAAAAAGCCAGATGGTAAATATTTTATGCTTTGCAGGCCATATGGTCTCAGTCAAAACTACTCAACTCTGCTGTTGTGGTGGGAAAGTGGCCATAGACAATACATAAATGAATGGGCATGGTTGGGTTACAACAAGTTTTGTTTACAAAAACAGAAGGTAGGTAGAATTTGGCTCACAATCCATGGTTTGCTGGCCTGTACCCTAGGTCCAGTCTCTCCATTTCCACAGATAACTGTTTTATACCTTCTCCTCTGTCCTCGTTTCTCTAACAATATTTTGCTATCTTCACTCTGAGCCTACATTCAATTTTACTGAGAAAACAGAAGCATTCAAAAGAACACTTACACAAGTTCCTACACTATCTGAGAAGTTGTCATCATCAGCATCTATATATTCTGTCTTTCCTCCATTCTCATAAATGAAACTAGAGAGCTAATTCTTCTTTAGGGAAAGGGCATTATCAATTTCTCTCTTTCCTACATCATTCTCAGCAGGATAAAAAAAAAAAATGTGCTGTAAATTATTTCTTGAAGAAAACTCTGCCAAATCCTCTTGTCTCTATTTCCTTTACATTTATTTCTTCTCTGTACCTTCTGCAGAACTCCTTAAAAAAAATGTCTAAACTCAATGCCTCTCCTCCCAATCTCTCTGAAACACATGTGAAATAGGCTTTTAGCCCCGTCACTACAAAGAAATTACTTTTGGCAAGGTTACCAATGACCTCCACAGAGTTAAATCCAAAAGTCTACTCTTGGAACTCTTTATCTAACCTATTGATAGTATTTGACATGGAAGTCCCTCCTGAAGAAACTTTCTTCATTTATCTTCCAGGACATAGTCAACTCCTGGTTTTACCCCTACCTCTGTGACCGTAACTTCAGACTCCTTTGATATTTCCTCATCTCGGCTTCTCAATGTTTGAATTACTTATTTTTTTTTTTAAGTTTTTGGCACTGTATTTATTGAATATTTAAATTAATAATTTCCAACTGATTTTGAGCAAAGTATAACCAAAATTTGGAGGATTTGTTACAAAAAAATTCGGTATGTTCGAATTATCTAAGTTCAGTCTTTGACTCTCTTTTCTTGTCTATCCACATTTACCCACTTGGAAATCTCATCTAATTTCAAGACTTTAAAAACCATTTTTATGCTGATATTTTCCACATTTATATCTCCCAACATAGACTGTCCCAATGGACTACAGATACATATTGAATTACCAATCAACATCTTTACATGGTTATTTAATTGGTATCTCCGATTTAATATATCCAAAACCAAATTCCTTATTCTCCCCTTAAAATCTAACCTTTCTAGTTGTCTCAATTTTTTTTTTTTTTTTTTTTTTGACACAGAGTCTCGCTCTGTTCCCCGGGCTAGAGTGCCGGGGCGTCAGCCTAGCTCACAGCAACCTCAAACTCCTGGGCTCAAGCAATCCTTCTGCCTCAGCCTCCCGAGTAACTGGGACTACAGGCATGCACCACCATGCCCGGCTAATTTTTTCTATATATTTTTGGTTGTCTGATTAATTTCTTTCTAATTTTAGTAGAGACGGGGTCTCGCTCTTGCTCAGGCTGGTCTCGAACTCCTGAGCTCAAACAATCCACCCACCTCGGCCTCCCAGAGTGCTAGGATTACAGGCGTGAGCCACCACGCCCGGCCAAAAGAGTGATTTTCGAACAGCATCATAGGTAATTTTATTCATTTATTGTCAAAAGTCTTAATATGTCTGCTACTCGTAAAATGTCTTAATAAAACAAAAGATCACATTCATAATATAAGAAGTTCAATATACAATTTAAATATCAATTTAAATATCTGAATGGCTGATTTTCTCAAAAAAACACACGGAATAGTATAGACGTACACCAAATGGAATTTTGTACATACCCTTATTTTCTAGCAGCCATTTTCTTATTAGAAATGATTGTGGTATAGAAACATGTTCATTCCTGTCAATATTCTCAAATTTCACATTTAATGCTTCACTTAAAATGCTGTACATATTTTGACCTTCAAATATGCAATGTTCAGTTCTTCATTTAATAAACAGTGATTTCTTCATAAAACCCCCTTTACCAAATATTACCTCCATTAAAGTTCTCTGAATCTCTCTGTCAGCTGAAGTACCCTCAGAAAACCGACGACCACCTAAAAATAGATTTGGAAATTTACATGTATCACTCTTTTCCTCTATAACCACTATTTAAAAAAAAAAACAGAATGTAATAGTGTGTGTGGTTAAAAATACTAAGATGAAAATAGTAGAAATTATACTGACAAAATTAGAACTGATTTTGGTGTAACGCTTCTCATTTTGTTAATGTCAAAGCTTATTTATTTAAAATTGACTAAATTTTCTAAGAATCCTTTAAAAATAACATCCAATTCATTGTGCTATCTACCTTACACATGTCACAATTACAGTTTAAGATAGAAGAAAAATTCTTCTAGATTTTTAAAAAATTTCCTAACACTTTCAAGAACAAATTTTAAAATGTGTTATTCTTACCAATAGCATCTATTTCATCCATAAAAATGATGCACGGCTGATGGTCCCTGGCATAATTAAACATTTCTCTGATCAAACGAGCACTTTCACCAATGTACTTGTCTACAATAGAACTAGATACAACCTGAGAAAAAAAGTTAAAGTAAATATAACACAATTCAAATAAAATTTAATTTCAACAAGCATAAAAGACTCATTCCTTTACCTTTAAGAAATTACAGTCCAGCTGGCTAGCAACAGCTCGTGCCAAGAGTGTTTTTCCTGTACCTAGGAATGACAAAAGAAGTCCTAATTAGATGGAAAGTAAAACAAAATTTCAAAAGCCTTTTAAGAATATAATTCTTTGGCTAGTAAATTTTCCAACATGAAAGCTAAATCCTAAATACTATTTTCTCTTTTTGTTGGTAAGCCAGTCAAGTTTAGCAGTGGGGGGTTGTATACCAACTTTAGTGACACTAATGTTAATAAGGCCAAATGACCTACTACCACTGGACCAGCCCTACACAGAATTTTCATTTAAAATTCCAAAGCACTTCTACTCTCAATATTAAA